ATCATTTAGCAAAAAACCAAACAAAAACGCCTTGACAAATCACTCCACAGGCACAAAAATATTCCCAAAAATCCAAAGACAATTTCCACAATTAACAAACAAGTATGAATTATAATTTGATTCACAAATTATTAACCTTATAAAATATTTAACCTTATAAGACAATTTAATCCAAACAAGATAATTTCCTCCTCTGTCATCTGTACCGGCATGTCGAACTGCTCCGCACACGACTCACCCTCGATGGTCTTCCGATTAGGTTTTTTGGACGACCTTACGCTCGGGTGCTTGAAATTGAGATGTTCGACGAGATTGGGAGCGAGTTAATCTTGTTCCTTTTTCACTGTAGCCGGATTTGGCTTCACTTCTTCTTGGCTTAGCCATTGAAGATTTCAGACTGAGAATCGATTTTTGTGTGGTAGAAAAGATGACTTTTTTGGTTTTTTTGTGAAGAAGATACACATCAAACGATGATATGGAGAGAGAGAGAGAAAGAGAGAGAAAAGCAAAAAAATCTGCTTGTTTTATAATTGTGTGTGGAAGAAAATTTATATGCAAAGAGAGAGAGAGGCATGAAATAAAACCTCATTAATTATGTGTATTAGTGGGTAGTTATAACACTCCCGAAAATCTGCTGAAAATTCTTCTTGTATTTACAACTTCCTTTAATTAATTGTTGATTTCATATTTGTGACATAAAGTTTGTCATTTCGCATTTTTAATATTACTAGTATTCGACCCTGTGCATTTGCACAGATGTAAATAAAGTATTGTGAAGTATTGTGAGTTACTTGTATGCATATAATGATTAATTATTTTTCTTTCACTTTTTTGCATGCCAACATTTACAAATAAAGAAGTTGGAATATTTCCTTTTTTTTAAAAAAATTGCGTTTATCTGATTGGATGTAATGTATATTTTGGTACGTGTTTTTTTTAAATTATTTATCATTTATTTAGGAATTTCAAATACGTTTTTAATTTTTTTTAAAAAAAATAATTTAAATGTAACCACAATAATATCTAATCACATTGTACGATCAACACATTACATGGTCAACTGTCACTAATAAAAAGTTTAAAATGATTTTTTGTATTTTTTAAGTGATTAGTATTGATTATTTAATAATTATATAAAAGATTAAATACATAAAAAGTAACGGTTTTTGGAGGGAAAAATATTCAATTGCCACATAGGTAAAATTAATTAGGTTTTATTAAATGCTATTGGCTAGTAATTATATATATATATATATATATATATAT